CCAGCACCACATGCCAGCCAGCCCCGCCCCCTGGTGGGCTGAGCTGGCCACACACACACACACACACACACACACACACAAATAAAATTTAAAATAAATAAATAAATCTGTAAACATTAACAGTTCTGTTCAAAGCACTTCCTTCTGTATTCCTCACATTTCCATTTACTAAACTAAGAATTACAACCAAAATCAATCTAAACATTACTACTTTAATTTTAATATCACTAATGGAGGAGCTGGGGAGATAGCTCAGTAGAATAAGCACTTGCCTGGCAAGCGCAAGGGCCTGAGTTCAATCCCTGGTTGGGGGTGGGGGGGTATCACTAATGGTATTTAATAATAAAAGCAATATAAACACAAAACTAAACTGCACAAAGGTGGGGCATGGTAGCACACGCCTATAATCCCACTTGGGAGACCAAGGCAGAAGGATCTCCGAGAGCTCAAAGCCAGCCTGGCCTACACTGTTAGTTCAAGGCCAGTCTTAAGTACAGAGCAAAACCCTGTCTCAAAATAAAACCAAAAATTCAAAACACCAACAACAAAACAATTACAATGCAATGTGGGGGAAATGTAATTAAAGTATAAGAAAGAAATGAGAAAATGAAAAAGTAGAATATATCCAAGCCATATACAAGAAAGCAACATGAGGACGAAAGTAAAGACAGAAGCAGAATGTGAGAGGGCCTTGTGGCACTGGCTGGGAAGGTACGTGGCTGGAGGGCAACAGGGACGGACACGGCCCCCCAAGCACCACCCCTCCTTCCTTCCCATCAGATGGTCTTCTCTGACTCTGCAGAAACATTCTAAGGGAAAAATACATCCAGGGTTCACTAAATATTTATGAAGATTTTGCTAGCAGCATAAACCCTAGCTGGAACATCAGGAGCACAAGACACAGAACCTGTACCTGGATAACACATAGCCCTGACAGGGAGGAAACCTGCAAGCAAGAGAGACAGGCAAAGGAGTTCACGTTCCTACCAAGAAGGAGCACTGAGGCTTGGACACTGAAGCACAGTGCTGTCTGAAATGCCAGGAGCTGGAAAAGGAGTCAACAGGGATGAGGGAAAAAATAAGCAAGGACCGTTGATGGACCCGAGTTCGCCTCAAGCTTAAGCCATGACCACACCCTCCTCAAGTAGCTGTGCTGTTCTTAAAACGGCAATTGGGGGGCAACAACAAGCAGGTGGACGGTTTGCAATGCAGACACTGCAGAGCAGCTGAGGCAAAAGATCACAGCACTGAAAATGCCATTATACTACTACAAGTAAGGATGAAATTATTGACAAACGTCTGTGTCAAAAAGAAAACGAAACCAGGAGGAAGCTTCTAAGTTAGGACGACAGGCAAAAAAAGTGAAACCAGCCTAATTAGAGTAAAACAGACAGAGGGCCCAAGAGATAAGTAAGTTAGAGGCACGCATTTCAATGAAGCAGCCTCGTCATTACACAACTATGGACACACAGACAGGGCAGAATTAAACGGCACAGTCTATTTTTTCTATACTTAAAACACAGATAAAGAATTCTCCCAACAAATTCTCCCAGTGCATAAAGACCAGGCAGGTAGAGGACAAAACACTGGATAAAACTGCGGTCTCACCGAGCTGAGGTCCTTACTTCAGGACTGCAAAAGGAAACACTCCCAAGATTCAGAAATCACAAAAATTGCTAAAACGTAAACGTTTCGTAAGTGCACTTTTCCTCTGCGGGCCACATCTGGAAAGGTGGCAGCGTGAACAGACTGGCTGGCACAGAGCGACGTAGTCCCGGTTCCATCAGCTTGGATGACTCAGTCAACCGAGGCCTGCACCACAGCGAGGCAAGGCGCCCCGGTGCCCACACGCCCGCCGCCCCAGAAAGGCCCACAGTTCGCAAAGGGAGGCTTCATTTCCACAAAGTCTCCATTACTTAGACACCTTTCTGCAAAAGGTTACTGGATACAAGGGAAGCACTTACTAATGTCATCTTCATGGTAGATGACAGAGTGGAAAGGCAGGGCTCGGTCTTTAATGTATCTCTCTGCTGGCTCGATGTAAAATGTGCCACCGTGAGTCCGGATGAACCCTTCAAATCTTCCATCAATCACTGACCCATGGCTAAAACTTCCTTCTTCACCTATGAATGAAAGCAACATCTTCAAAACTTATTTTGTACATGAGAAAGTCATTTCACTTTTTTTTGTTGTTCTTTTTGGTACTGGGAATCGAACTCAGGACCTTGCACTTGCCAGGCAGGTGTCTGCCTCACCGAGCTATTTCCACAACCCATCATTTTACTTTAAAAAGCCATTTTTATGTTCTTTTTCAAATATCCAAAGTATAACTGGGGAAATTAATTTTCACATAAAATATATAAAGTTAAATTTGAGATAGGAACATCAACCAGAATTCAAAATATAGAATTACTACTAACAATGAAAACTAGAACAGGTATCTGCCTTGTGACATATCCTAGCACCTAGAATACTTCCTATCAGAAGAAAACTTCCCGTCATGCATGCTTTAGTCATTCAACAAGTAATTGTTAATTTGAGAAACTCAGAAGCAAGTTGAACCTCTAATATAGCATATACTTTCAGAATAAAGATACTCAAAAATGTCTCTTTAGAACTTCTGCTTTAGGAGCCCTGGAGATAGCGCAGTGGTCTAAGTGCCTGCCTGGCAAGTACAAGGACCCAGGTTTCATCCCCAGTGCTGTATGCTGTGCTGGCTCTGCGCGAAGCTGGCCCCTGGGTATGGTGGCCCATGCCTGTAATCCCAGTGCTCGGGAGGCTGAGACAGGAAGATCACTAAGAGTCTGAGCTGCATAGCAAGACACTATACCAAATAAATAAATAAATGATCTTTTAAAAATAACTGATTTTAAAAAAGAAAGCAAAAACTTCCTGCTTTAGGTCAGTACCCAGCAGGCTGAGGCTGGAGGATCACCAAAAGTTCAAGACCAGGCTGTCTTACATAATCAGCTCAAGGCTAGCCTGAACCACATAGTAAGACCCTGTCTAAACAACCAAACAAACAACAGAAAACCTACCACAAAAGTTCAGCTTTAATTATCACAAGTAAAAGTTTTTCCCATCTGACATGCTATATGTGAATCTTTTGGCTTCTTTGCCACCTTCAAGTTCTATAAATGTTTTTATTTTTTTTTTATTAATTTTATTGAGAAACAAATAGTAATGAAACAGTTTCACTATAAATGTATTTTTAAATACAAAACTACTAAATATTTCACAAGGAATAGGAACAAAAGCATATCAACAACCCTTTTTTAAAAGGTATCTGACAAAGACTTGGAATACTGTTCCATCAATTACAGTTAAAGACAATAACAGAAAAAAAACAGTGTTAGGGCTGGCCAAATAGCTCAGCAGATTAAAGTGCCTGCTTAGGCAGACGCAGGGACCAGGCATTCGATCCCCGGGCCTGCCACGCCGGCCCCACCCCTGGGGCTTGTGCCTGTAAACCAAGCACGTGGGAGACTGTAAACTGGAGGATCATTACGAGTCCAATCTATGTAGTGAGACCCTGAACACCCTGTATACCCTGTCCTAAATACAAAAAAAAAGTGTTATTTAGTCCTTAATTACAAAACCTGAACACCAAACCTAATGCCTGAAGGAGCGGAAAGTGAGTTTTTTCTCTCACTGCCAGGGCTCCACGTGCACCAGGCACGCGCCCTTCCACAAAGCTACGGCCCTGTCTCCTGCCTGACCTTCGTTTTTGTTCATTTGGGGTCTTGCTGTATTGCTAGGGTCAGCCTCGTAGCTCTAGGATCAAGCAGTCCTCCTGTCTCACACTCGCAACGCGCTGGGAGCACATACCCTGCCTCTGCACCCAAATGGGGCTTTAAAAGTTAAATATAGTACAGCTAGACACAGGAACAGAAACCACAACGTGAAGTTTATTTGTTAAAAACCCTCACTGAAAAGAGTGCTCACATCTCAAGCATTTTCTCTCACACCTGTTTTGAGGTGCTAGCGACTAAACCCAGAGCCCCCTAACAGCTAGCTAGCAGCATGCTCTAGCATGAAGCCAGAGGCGGCAAGCCTAAGGCAGGCATGCCGCGGCCAACAAGCTATGCTCCCAGCCCCCACTTCTCCAGAACTTCTGAACTGTACGTTCACATTAACTGGCGGGCTTTGAGTCGGTCATGAGCTCAAAGCTCTTCCCCACCTACCGAGAATGGGCACAGCCTACCAGGCGATCTGCCCAGCGAGACACCTCAAGGGCCCGGGAAGATTACCTATTAATTACTGTCACTTTATTTTCAGCTCAAATGATCTCTGGAGTTTCCTTTTAATTTTTCCTGTTTTCTTATAGAATACAGAAAGTTATTGCTCATTTCTTTCTTCAAAGGTCAGACAGTTAGGGCTGGGGAGATAACTCAGGGGTCTAAGCGCCTGCCTGGCAAGCACAAGGACCTGGATTCAATCCCTGGGCATGCCATGCTGGTCACCAAAACCAGACATGGCAGCACAGGCCTGTAATCCCAGCAATGGGGAGGCCGAGAAAGGAAGATCACTACGAGTTCGAGCTGCGCAGGGAGACCATGTACAAAATAAATTAAGATTTTTAAAACAATTATTTAAAAATCAGAGAATTATAGAATCATTAAAATTTTTTGGAAAGTTTCAAAGTATTTGGTGTCAAATTTTTATACCTTTCAGAAGCCAGATGTAATTCATTATTAAATACACATGTTAAAGATTAAAAGATATCATTTTTCAAAGACCATTTACTCTTCATGATTCATTCACAGGCCTCTGAATTTTGTTTTAAGCAGGAGAAAGAACACACAAAATTTTCTACACACTTAAGGTATGGGAGTATTAGGCTCGAAAAATAACAAGACAGATGCCTCTTATGCAGGGCTTATTTCTGTAGGAGCTGGAGCTCATATAGCAAAGGAGGGTGGCCCAGAGTGGGAGAGTGGCACGAGGAAGGCTGACAGGGCACGGTGGCACATGTCTACAAACCCAGCACTCAGGATGCTGAGGCAGGAGGATCACTGTGAGGCCAGCCTAGTCCACATGCACAGTTCAAGGCCAGCCTAAGCAAGACTCTGCCTCAAAAAACCAGAGAGCGAAAGGTGCACACCGTGAGCCAGGACAGTCCCAAGGCAGAAGCTGTCACAAGGCTGCAGTCTCCGCACCAGATCTGTGGGTCCAGGCTCAGACCAACCTGCTTCTCTGCACAGTGCAGACACATGACTCCTCCCTAATCTTAATTCTCAGGAATCATCCAGATCTGAGCCCCAGATCCAAAGCACAGGTGGGGGTCGCTCTGAGTATGACTTCTGGGCTAAGGATCCTGGGTGACAAACTGGCTGGCTCAATTCTGAAGGAGCCGAGCATCTTCCAGAACAGCCAAACCGAAAGGCACTGACTCTCCACCACCCGGGAGACAGAATATCTTCCCTCAGCTGAGGGACAGCAGCTCTCCTGAAATATCTGCTCACACACCTAAATACACATGTCCCTGGTAGAAAAGAACTTCACACAGTTGTGTTAAGGTTAACTTACCATAAATATGTCCAGTGTAAATGTGAGAGGTATCATAATCAAGTACTTTATCTGATGTTTCTACTTTAAATTCATCACTAAACAGGGAAGTGTCCCTCTTCATTCGTAGATTGAAATGTCTGCAAAATGCAATGAGAAGAAAAGAATGAATTTAAAAACATCCAAATTTTAAATGACTTTTATTATTTTAATAAGCCAGCAAAATACAGACTGCCACTTAACTGTCTTATTTGGTAAATACATGAACCAAAGCTTTTCCTACAGAAATTCTGCTACAGCATAAAGGAAACAACCCTAAGGAGTTTTTAAACTTTTTGGTACAGGAATGGAACTCAAAACCTCGCACTGTCAGGCAGGTGCTGTGCTGCTGACCTGCATCCCAGCCCCAGGAGAGGCTTCTTGAGTAACTCCCAAAGCATAGGAAACAAAACAATCAACAACTGGGCACTTAATCCCAGCTCTTGGAGGGCTGTAAACAAGTGGATCACTAAGAGTCCAATCTAGTAGTGAGACCCTGAACACCCTGGAGACCCTTCCCTAAAAGTACCAAAAAAAAAAAAAAAAATTCAAGGTATAAGTGATAATAGAATCTTTTAATTTCAAATTGTGATGAGTTCAGAGAAAAGCCAACAGAAAGACAGAATACTTCTTCTTAACACCAAGGAGATGAAGCAATCACATGTAATATCTGGTACAAACTTACAATAAAAACGATGTATCGCTCATCTAAAAACAAAAAACAATTGGGCATCAAATTAAAGC